GTGGTGGTCTGTGGTGGAACGACGGAGTTGGAGGTGAGCATCCATATTCCGAGAACACATAAAGCTAAAAACACGACGGTTGTGACAGTTGAAGCGTAGGAAGAAGAAGAGGATCTCTTGCTAGTGCGGGCCCTACCGAGTGCCATCCTAACCGTAAACTGAAAACAAAAAAAGAAAAAGAAAAAGAAAAAGGAAAAGAAAATGGAATTGGAATTGGAGTTGTTCCCTTGATGGGTGAGTGAGTGAGCTAGGAATGGAATAATACAGAGTAGAGAGGGCCTAAGGTTTCTAAATTTGGAAGCTCCCAAGATCCAAATGACTCGGAGATAAGAAATTTTGGAAAACAACAACAGGCCATAATTTCTTTCTTTTTTCTTTTTCATCCTTTTTTACTCTATTTGATTCAAGCACGTGGTTGGGTTTTGTTTGGTTCATATTTATTAGATAAATTTATGCAAAATAATTAAAGGAGTTTTTATGATATTAGGGATCAGAGATGTGTTTTCGGCCCCTTTTTTTTTTATTTTAGAAATAGGGTAAGACATAAGAGCTCTCCTTAATGGATCAAGAGCCACACTAAATATAAATATGATAAAATAATACAGAAATTACTTTTCTTTAAAAACGTCCTCAATAAATATCGAGATAATCATATATTTATGGAAATAAATTGAATTTAACATAATGAACAACCATGGGATAGCCTGGTTGCAAAAATGACTTTATTAAAATACATAATCAAAGAAAAAAAATCCAACAATAAAATTGGCATCAAATATATTAATAAATCAATGATTCAGTTATCTGACATTGAGTAGATTAGTTGATCAACGACTAAAATATAGTCGATTTAATTGATTGACTAATTTATCACGGACCATAACTCTAAATCACTATTAAAAAAAAATTCCATCATATAAATTAGCTTGAGTTGTAAAGCTGTGGGTGCATCCAATCGAAGCTCATGTGGAGTTGGGCCGTGGGCTGAACGAGCAACTAAAGAGAAAGGAAAGGCCAATTGAAGCCCAGCAAATTATAGAGGGATTAAAATATGTACATATAAATAAAAGAGTTGGAAATATGACGTCATGAAATGGAGTGGAAAAAGATGAAGATTGGGATCTAAGCTTGTGGTTGGGGGTGGGGGTGGCCCAATACAAAATCTTGATTGGGATTTCCCATTACCAACACTCACTCACTCCTGTCTTTATCCACATCCTTCATGGGCCCTCCCTCCTAAAGGGCCCTGGCCCATTCTCACTCCTCATTCTCTCTCTCTCATCTTTCTTGTTTCACACACGTCATTTTACTCAAAAAGCTGATCCACAAATCATGTGTGGGCCCCCTTTCAATTCATCATCTTTTTCTTAGAGATCTGGATGTACGACACTTTAATTGTTGAACTATGTTTAAGTGGACTAAATTCGTCTATCTTCATATTTACGTTAGGTAATTAAATTGTGTGTTTGTTTTCAATTTCATTATTAAACAAAATAATCATTAAATTACTCGATTAAAATTTTTGGAAGAAGAAAAAAAAAATGATTGTGTAGATAAAGGGCCCATTGATGAGAAATATAAATAAATATGGTGTTTGATGCGGAGGTGGCTTGTCAAATCAACGACCAAATTCAAATGATGAGTGTTTCAAAAGGTTATGTGCATTTCCGAAAACCTTGCCTTGCTTCCTCCTATTTCCTCTCTTCATTTAATTTTAATTATTTTTCTTTCCATTTCCGAATGGCTCGGTAAATATTAATAGAAAAATATCAAGCTCTTTATTGGTGGGGATCAAATTTTATCTTCATTGATACAAGGAGTCACGTATTTTCCTTATTAATGTATATGATTATTTATTTTCACATTAGCATATAAATTCCATTTCGATGCCTTATTTTACTATCCCTTCAACTTTAGGTATAATTATCCATGTGACAAAAAATAGTAGATCATAAAGAGCCGAAGAATAACTCATCGTCAACTAGGTCCGACCTATAAAATTATATAAGCTCAATATTGCCAACTCGAATCTTGACAAGAGACAAGCTGAGGAATGTAGAGTGCTAAGTAATCGCTTGTTAACTGTAGTTGTAGATATCACATTGGAAATATTGCAACCGTAGAAAATGACAGGTGAGTGAGTCTCACCACCCTACATTTATAAAAATAGAGATCCTCTATATATGGAGGTATGCAATTTTGATTGCTCTTGGTGCAGGTTCTACACCTAGTGTAGCAACTTTCGACGTGATCATTGAGCAGACAAATTCAGCATAAACGGGTCTCAATTCTCATAGCTAAAAAAAATAATAATAATAAAATAAATCTTGAATTGAACATTTGGTTGAAAAGAATTTTCATGGGATAGAAAGTAAAAACAAACACTTTTGTTTTTCAAAATTATAAAAATAATTAAATATTATAGTAACGATCCGATTAATATAACTGTACGCCTAAAGCAGTAGAACTTTAATTAATCATAATTAAAAAGTCTAAACTCTAACTAAAGTAAGGCATCATTTTTGGTTGACTGCCGATTTATTGTCCTCGCAGAAATAATTAGCCACAAGAAGAAGAAGAAGCTGGAAATGAGTTGTCCATAATTAAGGCATTATATTGGGAATTTGGTACAAAGCTCGAGGAGTCAATGACCTTAATTACCCTACTTATAGTTATTGTAGGGATTATGACCAAAATCTAATCTAATTCAAATTTTTTTTTTCTTCTTTTGAGAAGGACCCATTAAAATGTTCAATTGTTAGTTCATATTTTATATAGCTTACATTTTTTTTTTAAATGTTTGACGATCTCTTTCAATATAAATTGTTAAAATTTTGTAATGTCAAAGAATTTGCTTTTGGATATGTATGTGGAGGTTAGGACTGCGTGTTTTAAACTCTTTACAATTTTGTAGAATAGTACTAAGTCAAATATCTCATTAAATTTTTTATTTTCTAAGTTCAACAATTGAGGAGCATTAAAATCACGATAATAAGTACTTTATCTATTTGAGTTAGCTTCAGATTGTGGGGGAGAACTCGATTTTAAATGTTAAAAAATAAAATATATATGTGAATTTGTACCTACCAATTAAATTTAATAATAATAATAATAATAATTAATTATTATCTATTAAACTCTTTAATTCTACCTACCAATTAAATTTTGAGGTCTTGTTTGACATCATCTTTTTTTTTTAGATTTTAATTTTTGAAGATTATTTGCTCATCAAAAAGCTTTTTGATTGATTCAGGGCGCCCTCCTTCTTAGAACCCATTGAGGGGGCCTCGGCCCAGGAAGGGGAGAGTGGCCGAGTGGTCAAAAACGACAGACTATAAATCTGTTGAAGTTTTTCTAGGTAGATTCGAATTCTGCCTCTCCCACTTGTTTGTTGTAGATGGAAGAGAAGAGAAAGGAAAGGAGGCATTCGTCGGCCCACCGAGCGAATGCTCTTTCTTTTTTTTTTTTTTGCCGTGCCGTGAAGTGAAATTGTATCGTATTTCAGTTTAGCACTTGTCTTAAAAATATATTTGAATTTCTTATCTAAATTTTAAAAACATAAAAAGTATTAAAAATATCTTTTAAAAAATTAAAAAGAAAAAATAAAGAGTTAGGTGTGTAAGTATTATCTGTAAATTTTATTTTTTAAAATTAAACATTAAAAAAAAACAAAAATGTTATCCAACCATATCCTTCCTTGCACACATATTAAATACATTAAAAAAAGTAAAAAAATCTAACACGATTTAGTCTTTGAAAAATATTCCCATAACTTTATTTACCAAATGGAGATGAATTCAGAACGAAATTTACTAAAATAAGTAAGCTGGGATCAGTCATCAGAATAACACTTTTATTTTCTTTAGAAGTCAATAACACTTTTAGTTAAAATAATTGAGTTAGAATTGCGTCATATATATTATTCTTATTGTTCATAATAATTTATATCAATTACAGAATCAAAACCATAGAGAAAAAGGAACTA